CGATAGATACATTCCGTTCTTTATGAAACTGATGTTCTAAGAGTCTTTAAATACATGAGCCAATCACAGCCCGGCACGTATGCAGTTTACAGACTTGGCTGTTTGAAAGGTTTTCTTCCATAAAATTAATTGATTCTAGACTAATTCAACTCAACATTTCCGAAATATGTATAATTTTTTGGAATAATCCATATAATCTATGATATAAACAAAAAATTGTAAGATTACTTACTGAGTGTGCACCGTTCAACGATGCCATGGCTTAAGCTTGTTTTCATGGTGGAGCGGTGCATCAAATGGCGCTCGCGTGCTTCCTGATAAATTATTTTTCTGCGAAAACTTTGCTGAACTTTGGAGACATCAGTAATATAAATATAATTTTTATGGCTTTTAAATAATAAATGGCTTTTAGTAGGTCCGCTGCTCATTTAAACTCTACGGTTTGTGCAATATCTGCTATTGGTCTAGATTTGACCAATCCTGTCACGACACAAGTCAACGATGATGTTTTACTGAATTATACGAGTCTCTTTTAGTGTGTTTATACAAATACAGTCGCAATTTTTTTGCCGTCATATAGGAATCTGAACTACATGAACCCGTTTTATAGGGAGGTCTACTGTATACTTACTTAATCCTCTTTTTCAAAAGNNNNAAAATTAATATAAATTTTTTTAAAATAATTTTAAAATTAATTAAAATTCTTTAATTTTTAAAATAAATCATTTTTATAATTTATTGATGATGATCGAATAAGTGTTTATATAAATGAATAACATTACAAAAAATGAATTTTTAATTTTATTTTTATTTTAATTATTACTAAATTCAAAATTTTATGACGTATTTTTAATTAAAGTTTTTTTTTAAATGTCATTTATCTCGCTTATATTTTTGTGTTTATATAATTATTTTCAATCATAATAATTATTATTATGAAACACGTGATATAAATATATTATAAATCCAGTACATATTTCTATTCATAATTTCGAAATTTTAATGATTAAGTTTTGGATTATTATTAATGTGTTAAAAAAATTATATATATTAAAAAACATAATAAAGGATAAAAACGTATTTAAAATTCAGAATTCATTCATTTAAAGTCGATTGACGATTTCTGAATTAATCGATTTAATAAAAATGCAAATGAACGTCCTGCCATCTGGAATTATAAAATTAAACTAAATCTTTAAATCACAAACTTTCGATATTTGAAAAATTATAAGATAATTTTTTTTAATTACTGTACATATTAATTTTACGATAAAAATTAATGTGTTTGTATTAGTATATTTTAAATTTCCAATTAAAAGGTCTTCTGTCCAGCAGTGAATCAATCTTTTAGAGAGCCCTTATAGTGGGCACGCGTTTGCTTTAGATATTAAAATCATAAAACGATACATTACTTAGATATAATTTATTTACATTGTATGCTTATTACATATGCGAAAAAAATACTTTCCTTTAAAGATACAGTACATCGTATTTCGAATCTTGTTTGAAGAGATTTTTGTCCTACTTTGCGGGTAGTTTCTTCAGTGATACACAGAGTGTAAACATGAACGAAATGGAATTAACAATAAAAAAAACAAAGAAAAATTACTTTCCTGCCATCCGGAACTGTGAACGGATCGCATTTCTACTAACAAAAGAGCGAAAATTAGTCTTGCTTTACCTCTCTATTTCATAGTTAACTCACTCAACTTCCGCAAAAATTCTTAACAAAAATTTCTTTTGAAAAGAAGAAGCACCATTTTGTTTTCTTGCCGATTCCATATTGTTTTACTACTCCGATAACAGTAAAAATGGTGCTACTAACAATGACGTCTCGAAGCAAATTTTCAACTGTTGCCCTACAGTTAATTGGATCATTAACTCGTCAAAAATGACAATAGATTAAACGAAAACATTAATTTTTTTTATTTAAAATTATGCAAACTTTATCGAACTGTAAGATTCCTTTTCTAACAGCAATTTTCGTAACGACTGTGTTATATTCTAATAATATTTTAATCGATGTCATAAATCTGGAATATAAAGTTTTTAAGTTCTCGTTGTTGAGGTAACATAATCCTAATCGAAGTTTCTGTCTCACAGGCATAAAACTCGACGACAATATATTTGCGTAAGAGCATCGAGTTATTTACCCAGTGATCGTTGTTAATTAAAGTATTCCTATTCAACGCTGTCTGGAGAGTTATTTAGCTGTAGTTCAAATGGAACCATGGTGACGTTTCGGAACAAGCGGAAAATAGCACCAAAACTCACCGCGATGGCACTTTTGGTGCTGCATACAATCAAAGGGCAGTTTCTTTCCATAAGCACGTGTTTCAACCAATAAAAGTGGCCACAAATGTTGAAATTCGACATTTGTGATGGTCATCACAGATGATAAAAATGATAAACGGTTGAACGCCATTCTTATCATCTATGATGGCCATCACATTGACAAAACGTGCATTTCTTTTTAAACTGTTTTATGAAAACAATGACAATGGTCGCATTTGGGCACTGAAAATCCCAGTGTTTTTACGCAGATTTCATTGTACTCGCTCAAAGTTATAGAGTCAGTAGATTTAGTTCTTGGATTTCAAATATAGGCTGTTAGAGGAAAAAGAAAAAATTCCAACTAGTTAGACAACGTATTCAACATATTTACAGGCACATAATAACTTAGAGATAATTAGAGGATAATGAGTTAGAGCAGTGATTCTCAACCACTGTGTCGCGAGATTTTTGAAGTGTGCCGCTACTGCTAATATCCATACATAAGCGACGTCAGACAAGTAGTTTAATCGGTTCTACCTTCCTAGAGCGCGTTTGAAAATTGTAATCGGTGTTACCGGTAACTGCCGGTAATTACTAAAGCATTTAGAAAATGTGACCTAAATAACCAACTGCGTTTAAAAGACGTCACCGGTTGTCCTACGGTACTTACCGAAGTCACTGTGTGCGCCGCCAAATTTTTAAATTATTAAAAGCATACCGTGACGAAAAAAAAGATTGAGAATCACTGAGTTAGAGGTTGACAAATAAAATAGGTAAATGTAAGAGTTCAGGCGGTAGGCCATCAATAAATTTTCATTCATATTTTACTGTACTTTTGATAGTGCAGAATATTATATAAATTATTAAACTATGTAGAGCCAATGTGAATATCATAAGAAATGTAGTTTCTCATATAAAAAATACAAAACTATTTCATCCCAAATGCTATTTCTTACTATACTAAATGTAGTAAAATTGTATAGCAGACTTTATGTAGTGTGAAAATTAATAAATTACTTTAAAAATAATTTGTCTTTATCTGGATTAAATTTCTATGGCTATTTAAACGTATCAGAGGTTAAGCTATGGTTTTTATAATTATATTGTCATGTGTATGTTGTGGAGACAATTAATTTACCAAGGTATATTATGTCTATATGAGGGGTAGAAAATGAGGCCTTCACAAGATAATAATAAAAAAAAATTATTATCTCATTTATTTATGTACTGTACACCTCAGGTATCAGATAACTCAACGCTATTAAGTATAAGGATTAGATGCCACACTTAATGGATTACAATGTTTAGATCTCTCCGACAAAGAAATCAAACGAATATATCGCGCGAAAGTGAGCATAGAAAAACTACAATACAGTATTTACAGGATTAAACGACACGTGTAACACAATCCTCCTGGCGCACAGGGCCGTGTCGTCCTATGATGCAGAGATGCGGCCGCATCAGGCGGCATAAGCAGCATTTAAGGGATGGCATAAGCAGTAGCGTACTGTAGTGGGGGCAGCAGGGGCTGCCCGCCTCAGGCGTCACTTTTTAGGGAGCGGCAAAATTACCTTTTAGGGGCGGCAAAATTTCACAATAAATAATAATATCTTGTAAAAATTTGAAACATCCTAAACTATGCTATCGTCCGGACAGTCCGGGAATCGGCTCGCCGTAGTAATTTTTTTTATCCGAGGAAATCCTGCGAAACCTATTTACCTTTTTTTTTGCTTGTACGATTCATTTGCGTTCATATACAGCAGTGGTTCTCAACCCCCGGGCCGCGGACCGGTACTGGTTCGTGGATCAAATGGTACCGGGCCGCCCAAGGAACATTAAATTACTGGTACTGTATTTCCATTTTATTTACTATGGTGTATTTCTCTCGGGTTTGTGCGACTTTTAATGGACGGCGGAACAATGGAATAAACTGGACATAAGAAAAACACTTCGGGTGTCATTGTCTCCTATTACCCCCAGATGGAACCGTCTTGTTGCAAAGAAACAAGCTCTTTTAGTGAGTTAAAATGTTAAATCACATTATATTCATTTTTTGGTGTAACTATATTTTATTTTGAAGGCATGTTTAAATACAATTAAATTAAAATTATTAAATTAAATCAATCTAAAATATAAACAATCAACGTCCCCCCTCAGTGGGCCGCAGTAAAATATCAAACGTTGACCGGTCCGCGGCGATAAAAAGGTTGGGGACCGCTGATATACACCACTAATATCCAATAGAACTATTTTAAACAGGTCACTGCACTACCACCGAATTTTTCATTGCTTGTTCTGTGACAAAACTGAATTTTGGTCTTTTAAATTGAAATACCTAAATAAGGGGGGGACCGAAATTTTCCTCCGCCCCGGGCGGATGACACCCACGGTACGCCACTGGGCATAAGCGGCATTTCGAAGATTTGCATCATACTGAGTGTTCGCTGTAAAGCGCTTCTCGAGCGCTGTATAAAGAAACGCGGCCGTATATCTACTATCGACTTTTCTATTAGCGATCACAGAACTGAAAAGTCAAAAATAAAAATTATTTAATGAATGAATGTTAATTTATATCTCTAATATATTATTATTAGCAATTTTGTTAAATTTATTTTTTAATTTTTGTTTTATTTCAGAAAGATGCGAAAATTTTCCAGTATGAACAATATGAAAAATATTGAATAAATTGGCAACAGTTAAATAACATCTTTTCTGATTGGCCGAAGTATCAAACATCTGGTTCAGTTTAACACGTGGGGCGCTTCAAATTAAATGGGCTTTACTCGTTTCGCAAACGAAAACCGATTTTAGTCGTAACCAAAGGATAAAACGATAGTAAGAATCTTCCTTGTAATAAAAAAGATGGAAGCTTGTTGTTCGAAAGTAGAAGGTGCAAGATTCCGGAAGAAACTAAAGAAATCCTTGCCTGTATTTATAGTAGAAGACCATAACGAAGTTAGTATTGTAGAAGTTAAGCTGTTTATTTTATAATTCTGTACTGTAATGACATGATATTTAAAAATTTTTTTCAATAACAGAGATATGATAGCATAGTTTTACATTAAAATATCTATATTCTTAATGACCAATGATTTAAGAAAGTTATATCTGCCCTTTCATGATGCAGTATGGTAAATAAATGACTGAAACCCGTAACCAGTGTATGCGTTTCTTTAAAAAGCCCGTTTTTTAAAATAAATTGTATTCTTCAAAATTTTATATATATTGTATTAAAGCACATTTATTTGCTATTAATAAGTAAACACATATCAACACATTAATTAATAACAACATTTATGTAATATTGTTATTTAATGGATTTACAATTTATAGGGAACAGTCACAAACCACATAACCCAGTTAAAGGGAATGGGGTAAATCAGTTGCTACCATGGACCACTACAGTTGGGAGAAGTAGGTTGGTCATAGCCTAGCTTAAATTGTTTAGAGTTGCAATATCATCTATTACATGTTGAAAAAGTGTTATGACATATCATGCACATGACCACTGTACAGAAGCACTTAGCAACACCAAGCAGAAGGGATGATAAATCAGCAATATTGATTAAGAATAAAAGATATGACAGCAGCACAAGTCTCTGTAATTACAGTAAGACCCTGCTTAACGCTGCCTCGCTTAACGCTGATTTGATATAATGCCGTCTGCTCGAAACCTAAAAAGAAAAGCTCAAAATTTACGCTGATTTAAATTATCATGGCATTTTATTAATTAGTACATAATACGATTATTTACGAACACAAACCAATCAGAAAAAGGTGGCAAAAAGGTGTACTTTCTTTAAGTCTGTTTGTTTGGTGCAATTTCAGAAAAAATATAACATCATGGATGCCATAGACAATATTGGCTTCACTTGGCAAGAATTAACTGATAAATGCACAAACAAAGTGTGGAAGAAGTTATGGCTGAAGATATCCAAGAATTCTCAACGAGAAGAGCCTATCACTGTATTGTTGATTAGGTTGATCAAACTCAACCTAATCAACATAGCAGGACTAGGAGATCTAGATGAACAGGATATTGAGGAGTTACTGCAGGTTTCTGGTGAGAGTCTTATCAATGATGACTTTCGAGAACTGGCAGAACAAGGAATCCATGTAGAACTGGAAAATAGTGATCCTGAAAACGAAGAACCCAAAGAATTTCTCTACAGATTTCCTTAGTAAAAGTTTCGTAACGATAACCGAAATCGCTGATCAAATTGTAGAGAATGGATTAGGCGTTTTGGATGCAATCTTCTGCTACTGACATTTGCTTAAGGAAAGAAAAAAGCGACAAATGAAACTTCTGAAATTCTTGTTTTTTTGCAATAAAGTCATGAAAAGTCAGGACCTTCATCATAAAAGAATGAACTATTAATATAAAAAAAATGAACTAATTAATATATTATTATACATTTCTGTGTGCATATGTTTACATATTATTTAACATATATTATTGTACAAATTAATATAAAAATGACTTAAAGTAAAACTTTTTTATTTTCGGTTGCATGTTTTCATATCCCTATTTATGTTAACTCTATGTTAAAATGACCTTGTTTAACGCTGTTTTGTTTAGTGCTTTATCATCTAGGAACGCATCCCCACGTTAAGTGGGGTCTTACTGTACACTGTTATAATATTTTATTAAATTAAATAATTATAATGAATGAGATTTAGAAACTGAGATGTGAATGAGATGATGATATTGATATCAGATGGCTCAAGCTTCCATTTGATCAATTGATGGTACCATGCCAATAATGTCTGAAATACAGCACTTCAGAATGTATGAGAAAAAGCTCTAGAAAAAGCTTTATAACAGTTTTATTATATGAGAGACTCCCACTAATATGCTTAGCAGAAGAATAGTTTCAAAATTTTATAATTGAGTGGATTGTAATATGATATTTCAACGTATTCTGTATTTGTTATTTGCAACTCATCTATATGTCTGTCTATTTTATTGTATGTTTTTGTTTGTTCAGGGATGTTACAATGGTGTTGTAACAATTGAAGAGATCTTGACAGTATCAACTGTAATGGAGCTGTAATGGAGGAACAGTCCTTAGTAAACTTCAAACATAATATCCTCATTTATACCTGATACCTTGATGACATTTTGATTATATTGAGAAATAGACTGGATGTTGGGGATGTGTTAAAAGTGTTCAATAATAACAACTAAGGATTAACACTAAAATTAGATCAAGAAAGCCACGTGAATGTTAATTTCTTGGACATTGAGATTTATGTAGTGGATAATAAGTTCAAAGCCACAGTGTACCACAAACCCACTTACCATCCCCCTATTCATATTGCCAACTCTTCTGACCCTTGGTCATATAAGACATCCGCATTCTGAGCACTTGTGGCTAGACTCACTCACATTGTATGCAGCTCTCAGATACTAACAATGAGCTAGAACAACTAAAATATATTGCATCCAAGCATAGGTACAGCCACTCATTTATCAACAATATAACGTCCACATATTGGGTTATTGGGCCAGGTCAATCAATACCAATACTAATGTTAACAACACAGAAGAGAAACAGGTAGTCCTAAGTTACAAACCAACCCTCCATCACATATACAGGAAGATTGCCAAGGATTTAAACATTATCATAGCTTACAAAAGAAAACTCACCATGTTCTGCCTTTTGTGTAACACGAAGGATGACACTGAGGATGCAAGAGCACCTGGAGTTTAATGCATTTCACTACAGGATGATAGGTTCAACAAGACACTAATGTACTGGTACATTGGTTCCACATACAGATTATTACAAGCCTGGTTACGAGATCACAAGTATGACGTAGCAAAGGAAACATCAATATGGCCCTGGCCCAGGCCCAGTATGCCACTGAGTCAGGAATTTACCCTGTATGGGAGGAGGTAACCCTAATACCTTGTGTATTAGGGTTACCTTGTGTATTAGGACAGCATATAAGAGCATTAGAGGCTGCAGAAATCTACAGAGCTGATGTAAGAGGAACATGCATCAACACAGATTATATTCTTGTACTAAATGCAGTATTAAGTATTATTTAGTACTTGTTTAGACTATTATTATTATTATTTAATTTATTATTATTTAGTATTATTTAGACTCTTAAAGGAATTTACATTGCTTACGATATGTCCCAGCCGTTGTTTGAAATGATTTAAAAAATTTTTTTTTTTAATTATAGTACATGTAGAATGTGGCTACATTCTATAAATAGAAGTTATTTTTGTTTGACTTTTCCTGAAGAAGCCGATTTAAGAAGTGGCTGAAAAAAGAATGTTAAATTTTGGTATTTTGCTGAAAATTTTGTGTTTAGATGAGAGTATATATATANACTCTTAAATATATTTTACGTCGTAATAAAAATATAACTTGACATACGTATTTATAAATAATTTATTTTCAAATTACATCATTTCTATGACCAAGGGCAGCGTAAGGCATGGGCGACGTGGGCCACCGCCTACGCCTCGCGGTCCGAAGGGCCTCGCGCCTCGAAAGTTTATGCATTACTTAAAAGCCGCGAACGCGACGAAAAAATTTTACTCGTCATAAAACGATAAATAGTTTATCAAATTTTTATTCGTAAAAATGCAGTTTCAACTGTTTTTTATTGTATAAACTATGCTATAAACAAAAAAATTGTAGGATTACTTACCGAGTGTGCACCATTCAACGTCACCATTGCTTAAGCTTGTTTTCGTTGCAGAGCAGCGCACCAAACAGCGGCCGCAATTTCTGATAAGTTATTTTTCTGCGAAAACTTCATTGAACTTTGGAGACATCATTAATGTAAATAATTTTTATGGCCGTTGAATAAGAAATGTTTCTTTCACAAGAAATGTATAAAATTAGTGCTGTATTAGACTTACAGTACTAATTTACATACTGTACAGATGATAGTTAACTCAACTTACTCGCCTAAACTCTCCGTAGCATGGCACTGGACAGCTGAAAGTAGTTCGGCTGCCCGATGATGTTTTACCAAATTATAGGAGTTTTTTTACCATGTTTGTACGGATACCGTTGCAATTTTTTCACCGTCATATAGGAATCCGAACTATAAGAAACGGTGTTATAGGGGTCTCGACTGTAGTTGTAAGGTCATATAGATAAAAACCTCAATAAATGGCTTTAAGATTTAACAAATGTTTAAATCACAAGTGGGAAATCTATAGCATTCATGCTGCATGTACAGTACAATTTATTATCTTTTTATTAATGATTTTTCAAAACTTTTCTCATTATGGTCAAAATTACTCATAGGAAAACATTCTATAAATTGCTTTTCAGATAAAATTCTAGATCTAAAAGAATAAGAAAAACAGATTCCTGAAGGCTGTGAAGTCCGACTTGAGAAACATTGAATAAGAATGGCTTTGTAGAAATATTAGCAATTCTTCTTCAATTTCTTGAAATCTCTACTTTTTTCATCTCTTCAATCTCTACTTTCTCATAAAAAGTATTCTGTTATGCTTGATGGGAGAATTTCTAGTATTATACTTTTTTAGTTCTTAATTAATTTTAACAGATATTCATTAAAGACATTTTAATTATTGTATAGATTATTACATGTATTTTGTATGATATACAGTATATGAATAAAGATTAAATGTACATAATAATTTTCTTTTTTCATTATTAAAGTTATGCTGAAAGTACTAGAACCGAACCATTATATATATTATATATATGTATTATATATACAGATTACACAAATAATTTGTTTGAAAGTTGAAGAGGATTCTTTATTTCAGAAACATCTGAATAATGCTAGTAAATACAGTTGAGCCTATCTATCTCAAATATGATGTTTATCTTGAAAATCTGTATCTCAAAATTTAGTTTTCCCCCTGCATTTTTAGCCTAAATTCAATTTAGTGGAACCTCGCTTAATGAGCACCTCTCATAATGAGTAATTCGCATAATGAGCAAAACAAATTG